ACTGAAACAATTATCATTGTCACAAAACAATAGCTCAAAAATCTTAAAGAAAGAGGGAGAGGAGAAGCACTTTTACCTTCAGGGATTGTCTCACCGCCGCTCGTTGCTTATCCTGGGTGTAAAGTGAGCTTTTCTTTGTTGTACATTTTTTCTTATTTTTTGGGAGATCGAACAAGTTTCGGTCGACATTGGAGATGGTGGGGTCATAGTTGGATGGTGGCCGATGGTCGATATGCTCACAGGTTTGGGTAGATTTTAGGTGGTGAAGATGGGTGGTTCTCATGAACCATGGTGGTAGTTTTACGGTGAAGAACATTTGGGACTTTGGGTGATGTTCTTGGGATTCATGGGTTTTAAAGAAGAAAATGGTTAGCTTGATATTTGAAAAACAAGTTTCGGGTTATTTTTGGTGTTAGTAGAGAATCAAACTTGGTTTTGGAAGATGAACATGATAATGTTCTTGGAAGCATTTGAGATGTTTGATCTTGGGTAACACTTTTCGGGTGGTGTTTAGGTGTTTATGGTGGACCAAACTTGGTTTTTTGGATAAATAGTGGATGAACAAAGATGAACTTAAGAATAACTTTTGAATAGTTTGGAGAATTTTGGGGTTAATTTTCGGTTGAGATAGTTTTGGAGGATGAAGAAATTTTTGAAGTGGCCAAAATGGGAGTCCATCTAAATTTTTGGCTTTTATATTAAATGAATTTTCGGGTTAATTGCTTCATTAAATCACCCTATAATCTGCGTGTTTTGGTTGTGGGATTTGGCTTTTGATTTATTTTATTTTGGTTACTAAATCATGTAATTTGTTCTCTGAACTTTGATTGTATTCATTTTGGTCATCAATTTCATTCTAATTGTTTTGAATGATTTATTAAATATGTCTAATTATTAATATTAAATGTTAATTCTTGAATCTTTAAAAATGGTCACACATTTAATCAAAATATTAAACCTTTAGATTTTACATCTTTTATTTTAATCACTAATGTTAAAATTGTGCTTTAGATTTTTTTAATAAAGCCTTCGTCTTTAAGTTCTTTAGCTATAATTAGAGCCTTAGTATAAGTTCTTTAATTAGAAATAAATAAGTTCAAAATTATCCTTTTAGTATTAGTTTCTTTAATAATATTAATTGGAAACAAATAAATAAATTCATAATTTGATTCAAATAGAATATCTATTCATTTTTTAATATTGAAAGGAATGATCTTCAAAAAATTAGAAATTCATTTTTTAGTATTTTCAAATAAATAAATATTCTATTAAGTGATCACCACAAAAATTAAGGGGTTGTTTGTTTACTTCAGAATGATTAAGCGCTGAATGATTTAAATGCTGAATGATTCAGAGGCTCTGTATGAATTAGCTCTGAATGTGACATGATGTTTGATAATGACCCTGAATCATTCAGAATGTACTTCTGTGCTGAATCATTCAGCACTATTTTGCTGAATTAGTCATCACTGAATCATTTAGAGGTGAGAAACAAATTGTCTGAATGCTGAAGGTTCAACATTCAGTGCTGAATGGTTTCATTCAGAGCCAAACAAACAACCCCTAAATAAGTTTATTAATTAAAACAAAAGGGTAGAGGTTTGTTCATACGTTTAAATTGCTAAGGACACGCTGTTTGATTAGCGTCAAAGGATTGACCTTCGTTCTTTAAATCAAGGAACATCCTTATTCTTTTAAATAATAATTTAACTAATTTGTCAGCTTTCATTTTCTTTTAGGGTTTAATAATGGGTTAATTCTTTAATTTTTAAGGATGACAATATTTCATTATTCGATTAAAACATAAGATATAATCACCTTAATTTTGATAGGGGGTTTGTTTCTTCTCTAATTGGAAATAGATAAATATTGTGCATCTCTCTAAAATTTTAAAATGTTTTTATTTTAGGGAATATAAAGATCATTAATTAAATAAATATTCAAATTTCTTAATTTTCAATATAGGGACAAATTCATAATTGAAGGTACCAATTTTGGGGCGTTATGGGGTGCTAATCCTTCCCCAAGCGTAATCGACTCTTGAACCCATAATCTCTGAATCACAGGCCAAATCACGTCTTTTTAAATTTTTTATTTTAAAGGGCGTATCCCAAAATTTCAACCTACATAATCCTAAAGGTTGATGGCGACTCCAAATGTTTCAAATCTTTTCTAAAATTTTAATTTTTAATTTTTAATTTTTAATTCAAAATTTTAAATTTAATTTGAGTATGACAATTTCGAAAAAAAAATTCGTCATGACACTTTCATTAGGCGAAAGGGTGCTTGCTCGATTTACGTTCTTGTATATGTGGATGATATTATTGTCATAGGTGATAATATTGATGATGTAGAACAAGTCATCTCCTTGTTGGGTCGTGAGTTCTCCCTAAAAAACTTGGGAGAGTTAATTTTTTTTTTTTGGGTCTGGAAGTTCATCATGATGCTCACACTCTTGTTTTATGACAAAACAAATTTATCCTTGAGCTGCTTGACAAGATAGGCATGCGAGGTGCACATCCTGTTCCTACTCTAATGATTTTGGCTCCAAAACTTTGTAAGATAGATGAAATACGTTATCAAACCCCCAACTATACAAGAGTGTTGTTGGAGCTCTTCTATACTTGAATCACAGTCGCCCTGGTATTGCTTTTAGTATCAATAAAGCCGTCCAACATATGCATGAGACACGAGAGCATCTTTGGGTCGCTGTCAAACGTATATTGTGTTACTTGAGTGGTACACTTGACTTTGATGTTTGAAAGTCAGGATTGGGGTTTGACTTGGAAGCCTTTTGTGATGTTAATTGGACAAGAAATGTTGATGATGCTCAATTTTAAGATTTTGTGTTTTTCTCGATACCAACAACAGAGACCAAATACTGTGGCATTATTGATATTAATTGGATTCAAATGTTATTAGATGACATGAGTATGCTATGCACCAACACTCCCATTGTATGGAGTGATAACATAAGCGTGATTGCAATGAGTGTCAATCCAGTATTTCACTCTCGTTCAAAACATGTTGAGTTAGATCTTCATTTCATTCGGGAAAAGGTTGGAGGTTGCACGGTTTGCGTCAACTATGTTCCTGCTCATCATTAACAGGTGAATAGTCTTACCAAACCCCTCTTACGTGCTTATTTTTCTTCATTTCGCCGCAAGATGAAAGTCTCAGATGGAATTCTTGAAGTCATGGAAATTAGGGAGAATGTTAATCATTGATGATGGATATGCTTGCACAATATTATATGAGTTGGCAGATGGTTCTAGGTGTTATAATCATATGGGTATGGCTAGTGCATTGGTTTAGAATAATCTAGGTTTTTTGTATTGTCCATATATAAGTGGACTGTAAATGAGAAATACAAGGTATTTTTTCAAATAAAAAAATGTTTTCTCAACATTCGGAAGTGAGTTTTAGCTTTGATTGCCTATACATGAAGAATATGGAACTATTTGATCTTTGTTTCCATGGTGAAAATGTTGTTTTGGGTTAAAATTTCAAGCTTAGCTGCATGTAATGGCTAAATAGTTCAACATGAAATTGAACTCTCAAATGTAATAGCTGAAAGCCCTAGCAACATCTATTATCAATTTGACCTTGCTTGGAATTCCTTGTGCTTTAATGTTGAAGAAACCAACTCCACAACTACTATACAACTACCCTATTATAAATTTTGGACTTGATAAATGACTTAAATAGTGGCCGGACAATGGAATAATGGTCGCTATATAGTGATAGTGGCGCCGTCCAAAATCACTATTGTAAAAAATAGTGGTGCAAAGAGGAATCACACTAATAGCGATTGTAATTTAACGGGTAACGGCGGATAATGACGCCTCTTCTTTTTATCATTTCTTTCTTTCTTTTTCTAGATGAATAAGCATTGTATTTAAAGCTTACACAAAATAAACAAATTGTATAAAAAAACTAATGGACACGAAAGATTGAAAATACCAGTTTGTTTTCTCTTTTTTGTTCTATCAAAGATTAGAACACGAGGTTAACAAAGGGCACACAAAACTACAGTGAATACGAGAAATGAAACAATAAACTTCATTTTATTTCCATCAAAAGGACCCATCTTGCATCGATATTGGCATTGAGCAGGGATCACACTGATACCTGTCGATCACGGTCATAATTTAATGGATATCGGCCAATCGACACAATAGCAGGCCACTATTTTATTTTTTTTAAAAGATATGAATTCTTTTAGAAAAAATTCACGACCGTGATACTCACAATGCCACAATAACATTCTTTATATCCGCAACAAATATAAACGCAATACGATCGAAAAACGACCACAACTGCAATTTAAATCCCTGGTATTCACAGAAATTACAATCAACAAAACCAGAAAAAAGGAAAATATAGATGAATCAATTAAAAGACTTTCTTAGCAGCCAAACAAGGCTAAAATGGAATAATAATAATAATAATAATAATAATAATAATAATAATAATAATAATAATAATAATAGTGCAAAGTTTAAACAGTCGTTAAAATCTTTCCTGGTGTCATTAAAAGCGTCGCAAGAAGCGCCACTAAAATCAATGCCACAACAGTTAGCGGCTATAGTGACATTTTTAAGCCGCTAATTACTTTACCTATGTTATGATATTTAACTACATTTGTGGTAAAAAACCCTACTATTAACTATGTATATAATGTCGTTTTTCTTTAGAAACGCTGCAAATGTATATATCATTAGTGACGTTTTCCTTCACAAAACACGCAAAAGAACCTGACATTTGGTGACTTTTATTACATATATCGTTTTCTACTCTATATTGCCCAAATTTAATATCATGTAACATTATCTAATAACAATAAACTTAAAATTTAATTACGACACAAATTATGTAGAAAAATAAACCAAAATTTATAATATAAAAATGAAATGTAACATAATTTAACATTGTTCACTAAATTTAGTCTATGTTCTTTTTTCATTCAATTGAAAAAATTAAAAAAAACTACTCCAGCTTCACTTAGGAGATGACTTTCATTTTTGCTTGTAAAACTACTCCAGCTTCATCAGCTGATTTTCTTCTTGGATGCAACCTACTTGTTAAATCACACAGCTCCATTACTGCAATCAAGAAGAGATCCTTAACAATAAAAAAAATTATTCGAATAACATAGGCCACAAAATCTTGTCTGCCGAAAATAAACACGAATATTAAAGTGAAAGAAATCCATTTCAACCTGATTAATTAAGGTTAATTAGTACCATCTTGCAATGAGAAATGGCAAACATGTATTCGACTAGCACATGTACAAAACAAAATCCAACCTCAGGCGAGGTTTTCAATCTAACAAAATTAATCTCAAAATCCTTAAGACAATCAAATCTAGGAACAACTTACAACTACCCATGATCCCGGTCCAAGATTATATTCAATGAAAGCAAAGGAGTAATTAAATACAAATGTTTTCTTTAATGTAATTTAAATTGTATTCCACACTTCATTAATATCATGGAAGAACAAATGAAGCACCAAACATTCCAAAAAACTTCCATCTCTACCACTTCAAGAATCCTCACCTTGTGAATGTGACAGTGCCCTTCTTTGATACTGTTGGCTGTCTGTCTCCGAACAATACAGGAGCTAGATCTGTAGCAGGACCCTTCAGCACACCTTTACTCAATGTTTTCAAGGCATCTTTTATCCTACGATATGTCACCTACAAAGGTCATTATATATGTGATATGTTTTTCCCTATAAGCATTGACAGTACCAACTCCATATATCTTGTAAATCATCAAGTATTCAATATTAATCTAGTTTTAGCCTTGTATATATAATTAGATGTTAACAGCAAAAATGAACACTACAACCTCACATTTCAGTTCCTACATGATTCCCAGGTCAACCAGAACAAACTTTTCAACAAACATAAAAAGTTAAAAAAAATTGAAAGTGATTTGAAATGCACTGGGGAAAGTATGAATCCACATAAAAAGTAAAACTATTTTCCACACTGTAACTGAAGAAGCCAATATGAAAAACTTGGAAGCAAAATAAATTCAGAATAGCAGACCTCATTTTCCAATATGAAATAAATTCAGAAGGAGAGCCTAAATCATCCTTGTTTTGTTTTAGAACAACAACGTCATGGGTTCCAAACTGCATTGCAAGCAAGGGGGAAACATTAGCTGTTAAAAAGAAGGGATCAAGCATTTCAATACAAAATAAAAGAAAAAGAAAAAAAAATCCCTTCATTATCATTGGAAATACACTCAGTTATAACCCAATGCAAGTGAACCTATGATATTTCTTATTTACATCTGTAGAAACTTAATTGTGTCCAAAATAATTTTTTCATTCATTCTTCTTATTTCACTCTTACTTTTATTTTGTTTTATTATAATTATAGTTAAGTAAGTTGTTTTCAATTTCATCATTATTAATTATCATAATTAATATTGGATTGGGGTGGTGTTACAATAAATATGATATAGTTATGCGTATATGTATATATGCATTTTAAGTTTAGGTTTAATTAATTAATTAAATGCACAATTATTATATTAATAATATTTTAATTATTATTTTACATATCAAAATACAAGTTTACAGTCAGCCCACCGGTTCGGGCCCAACAGGAACGAAGCCAACCGGTTGGAGTCCAAAACCCAGTGGGTTTTCCACCCACTGCAGCTGTCCAACACTCCATGCCTGCCACCGTCATCATACCCTGCCACACTATGCCCTGCTGCAACAGCAAGGCAGCACCATCCCGGGCTCACGCTGCCACCATCTCTTGCAAGTCACGCCACCACCAACTGCACCAACCAAATATGCAAACAAAACAATTTTTTATCTTGACAATGTAATAGGTATATATAACCCGAAAATTAAACAATGTAAAACATCAATATTGGGAATCAAAAAAAGAATGGAAACCGAAAAGTTCCAAACTTAATAGTATCAAGCATTTGTCTCTTCCTTTTTCATTTTTTGCATGCATGTATCTTTAACCTAAAAAAATAAAATAAAAAGGTAGAGATTTAGTACTCATCTCACGGCTTCCGTGCTTTGTCGAGGCTAGAGGTGTCATCATGGAGGGAGATTGAGGGTCGGTTTGGGTCGTGGCGCCACCACTCGTGGTCGTTGGCCATGGGTTTGTGTCTTTCGACCGTTTGGTTTAGGTGTTTTAGCCTCCTTTAGAGTTGTCGTTTAGGGTGGCTACGGGCCGTCGGGGGGACTATTTTGGCTGGGTTTTGGTTCAATTTTGGCTGTTTTGGTCACCGTGGATGGTGGTCAATTTTAGGGGTCAACCACGGCGGCGTCGTGGGAAAGGTATGGCCTTATCGGTCGAGGAGAGGGAGTGGAGGAACCTTGCATCATTTGGGGTTTGCATTGGATGAGCTTCCCGTGCCTTGCAGGGCGTCGGCTAGAGTGGGACGACACCAATATATGGTGGCCAAGGCGACGCATGCCATGGGTCCTTGGAGAGTCGGCCGCCGCATGTATGTGGAGACGAGATGAGTTAGGAGATGAAATATTGAGGCTTTGGGTTTCGGGTAAAATGAAGCAGGGGATTTTAGGTTTCTTTTTTTGGGTTAAACACTCTAAGGTCCCTAGACCTTTAGCTTGTTTTTATGTTTAAGTCACATAGTTGTGGGTTAACTACCCACAAGTCCGTAGACTTTATGCAACCTTTTGAGTCCTAGTGATTTAAATAGGGTCTAATTCCATCTCAGTCATCGTTTCTTTAGTGTTTTGCGTTATATTCGTCTATCCCAGGGAAATCATCTTTAGGTCCCCCTAAATTGGTTGTGTTCTTGCTTTTCAGTCACTAGATACTTAGTTTTCATGTTTTCTTTGATTTAGGTATCTTGTTTCTTTTTTCTTTTGATTTAGGTATCTTGTTTCTTTTTTCTTTTGATTTAGTCACTGTTTTGATATGCCATTTACTTAAATGTAGTCACTAATCTTTAATTTATTTTATTTGAGCCACTAATGAAGTTTTTATTTTCTTGTAACTTGGGCCTGTAATTTTTATTTCATTTTATTTTGGTCCTTGCATCTGCTATACATAAAATTTAATTCTATTATTGTTTTAGGTTCTCATTTTTCCATTTTTATATTATAGCCATTGTTTATGTTTAACTTGTTGCTTGATTGGTTTTTATTGTATTTATAACTTATGATTCGGTTTATGTTTTACACCATAAAATTATTGTTTTGAACTCTGTGTTATATCCTATTTTGTTTTAAGGTTTGCTTTATTATTTGTTGCTTTACCATAACATGCTAATATATCATATATATATATATATATATATATATATATATATATATATATATATATTATTGTTGTAAATATCAATTAAAATTTATAAAATGTCCTAAATTTCTCGATATTGATTATTTTTTTATATACTCGAATCTACTTTCGAAAACCCTTGTTGTAGAATGGGTGTGAAAAGCACAGCTTTATAGAATAAGTGTTATTCAAAATTCCATTCAAACGTAATGGGAACTCAAAATAGTTCAATTATATTTTATGAAAATTAATATTAATTATTTGTTTCTTTAATTCTAACTTCTACATTTGCAATATATGTTTCTCTAAATAATAAATTATTTTATGTAATCACTGGTATAATTTTATTTTATTCGATTATTGATTTTTGATAAATCGAGGAGGGAATATTCTTTTTTTGACAAGAAATAAAAGAGATAGCCTTCTCGTCGGAGGATGTGCGAATATCGATATTTCTTTTCAAGTTAAAGGTTTTTCCTAATAAATAATTCGAATCAAAATAATTAAATTTTAATAAATGTTCTAATTTTATATTTGATTTCGTAATCTTACTTCATTGACAATTTATAAGCAATTAGATACTAATTTTGGGCACTGTGGTGTGGTTTTTCTCCCCCACGCATAACCAACTTCTGAACCTTTTAAATTGAAGTTTTGGTAAACATAGACTAATTTATGTCTTTTAAATATTTTTAAATTTTTTAAAATGTGTTTTTAGGCATTCGACCTACCTAACCTAAAGGTTGATAGCGACTCTAAGGCAAATTAAATAAATTTAAATAATAAGTCATAAACGAACTTTCTTTAAAACCATAAAAACTTAAAAAAAAGGATGTTATGACAGCTTGGAGACTCTGCTGAAGACTTTTTCTTTTATAGAGTCATGCTGTCAATCGCTTATACATTGTTGTCGTTGTGAAAATTATGAGTTCAAATATTTAGATAGCTTATGATCCATTTATTGAAGTTTTTCTAATTTCTTTATTTTTAAATTATTGTATTAATGTTTTAATTTATATTTTTAGCTTTGTCAAAGTTTCTGTCAAGCTTTTTAATTTCTTTTTGAGTCAAAGGTTTGTATGTTTCTCATAACACACATCACGAGCATTTACATGAAATAAGCTCTAGACCCGAGCTTTATTCCAAGTAAGTCGACTTGCCTTTAAATGTACAAACAACATGGATGAGTATGAAGCATGTATCTTGGGAATTTGAGATGCAATTGCAAGATTAAAATCTTGGAAGTATTTGGTGATTCTGCTCTGGTTATTTGCTAACTTCGCGGAGAATGGGTGACTCAAGGTTCCAAGTTTGTAGAATATAAGAATCTAGTAATGGATTTGATCAAGGAATTTGAAGAGATTACTTTTATCTATCTCTCACATGAAGAAAATCAAATGGCAGATGCCTTGGCTACATTGGCTTCCATGTTCACAGCCAACGATCAGGCTCAAATGATGTCCATTCGAATGAGTATAAGAGAAATATCATCTCACTGTTGCAATATTGAAGAGGAAGAAGATGATGGTCTCCCGTGGTATTATGACATTCTCTAGTATGTGAAATATCAAGCTTACCCTGCCGAAGCAACATAAAATGAAAAAAGAATGTTAAGAAGATTGGCTATAGAGTACGTCCTCGATGGGGATATATTGTATAAAAAGGGCAAAGATCAGGTGCTTTAGAGATGTGTGGATAATGTTGAGGCCATGAAAATACTTGAAGAAGTCCATGAAGGGATTTGTGGGCACACGCTAATGGCTTCACAATGGCCAAGCAAATCATGAGATTTGGGTACTACTGGTCAACACTGGAAGGAGATTGCATCAACTTTGCTGGAAAATGTAATAAATGCCAAATCCATGGTAATCAAATACATGTTCCTGCCTTACTTCTCCATATAATGATTGTAGCTTGGCCATTTTCAATGTGGGGCATTGATGTCATTGGGGCAATTTTACAGAAGGCTTCAAATGGGAATCGTTTCATCCTAGTGGCCATTGATTACTTCACCAAATGGGTTGAGGTTGCCTCATATGCCAATATCACAAAAGGGGTAGTTTACAGGTTCCTAAAAAGGGAAATCATTTGTAGATATGAAACACCAGTTAGGATCATTTCAAATAATGAATTGAATATAGTTAATGACTTAATAAAGGAAGTCTGCACGAAGTTCAAGATCGAACATCACAACTCGACTCCTTATTGCCAAAAAATAAATGGGGCAATAGAGGCAGCAAATAAAAATATCAAGAAGATCATCACGAAAACAACTGAAACATATAAAGATTGACACAAGAAATTACCTTTTGCTATGCTTACTTATCGTACATCCGTTCACACTTCAACTGGGGTAACACCATTCTCTTTAGTATATGGAATGAAAGCAGTTTTACCTGTTGAGGTTGAAATACCCAATCCCGTGAATTCTAATTTAGTCAAACAATATTATACCTGATTGAAAGAAAGAGAAAAAAAAGAAGAGGAAAAGAAAAAATATAAATAAAATGAAAATTGAATGAAATAAAAAGGGGGTTCAAGATGAAAACTCAAATTGGGCATCTTGAAACCAAAGAATGATTCGAGTTGAAAATCCACAATGGACAGCTTGAATGTTTAGGGTTGAAATAACATATTCCCTCAGAAGCCTAACAGTTAAGGGAGAGGCTCTCATACTCAGACATCCTCATTACGCTCTGAATCTTCTATACATATGTTAACTTTTAGGAAATACTTGGGGTAAGAAAATAGAAGGACTCAACACTTGATATCGAATGTATTCAACCTTTATTCTTCCTGTAATGTTTATCTTGATCTTAAGAAAAACACCTGTCCCAAAAGATTGACTTATCTTCACCATTCTTTAATGAAATCAGTTAAATAGGTTTCATTATTTCTTTACAATAAGCATTGAAATTCTGATTAATAATATTATCGATTATTATGCCTTACTCTGAAAAGTATCAGAGTATGGGGATTTTAATACAAGTATTTACCAGGAAGCACATACAAAAAGAACGTTCTCCTAATTCATTGAGTAGATCATTGAAAAAAAGTTTGCCTAAATTAAAGAAATCAGTCTTAGCCTAACTCTGTATTCCTTAACGAAGAAGCCAAAAACAAATCCCAATGAGGGATGCACCATATGAAATTACATCAAATTTTCTCGAAAGGAAGGTTAACTTTTGGTCAAAGATCCAACTGAGCAAGATAAACTCTTCCTCGGGGTATATCAAGGAAAACAAGTTAATCATGATATCTTAGCGAGAGGTTAAGAAGGTAACCATAGCAGGAGAGCGAACAATGGCAATATAAAAGTCTCGCATGTCACGATCAATATTTATCCATTCACCAAAGTCAGATAATGTCCCAAGTGCCAGATCGAACTACACATAACCATACTAGACATCTCATACATATCATATCAAGTTGCGTTTAGATCATCTTTAGGGAATAATTGCAAACATAAAATCATGGCATATAACACTTTTGAACATGATCTTAAAGATTTATATCGTTATTGAGATAACAATTTAATCACCGAAAACTATGATCAGATCTCCTCACCGAGAAAGAGTGATGTCATCATTAGCTTTGACACTGATTAACGATTAGCTCTCCTCAACATGAAGGAGCAATTTCATTTCAAAGGCAAATCCTTTTCAGACAATTAGACTTGTACCACTCATAACCTATATACGCGAACCAATACGAGTTACATATGTCACATCAGAAATTCAAGACATTTCTTTAATTGAATTTGGTAAAATTTTGTTTCATTCAAACATCACTAGTTTCATAACTTGAACAATTATTATAAACTAATTATTCAGATCATAATATAATATTTTTGGTTACCAATTCAAAACCAATTTCATGCAATGATAGACAATCTTGTTTTGTTTCATAAAATAAATAAGAATGTCTAACACGTTTGATTTAAAACACAAATAATTTTTTAAACATAGTTTAATATCATAATATTTATTCATACAATTAATTATATTTAATATTAACTATATTAAGAAATTGCAAACATTTCAATTTCATATACATGCTAGCTAGAACTTTTAGAACACAGTAGGATGTCATCATTGTTACCTGTAAATATTTCATTGGTGATTGATGCCAAGCTCAACTCCTTACTCCTTTTCCTTCTTTTTCCTACGAGTGAAAATCATCACACAATAAGTATACACTTAGTGAGGCAATTATAGTTTAGGGCAAT